AGTTCATTGAAATTATTTTTATCGTACAATACCAGAATGAACGATATTTGTTTAATCGTACAGTATCCGTCCGAAAAAAAATTGAGTTACCAAGACTGCTCATGCTCGAAAATAAAGAATACATTACAGTACAATACATTACATTCCTTCTGAAATTGTATTCTGTACAAGAATTTTTCGTAACTTGGTAACCTTTTCATTGGCGATATGAGACTAGCATGCAAAAAAACCTGGATGACCATTCATCCAATATTCTCATTGTGTGTACGAGGCTTATTCAAGAAAAATAGTTAATAGCATTCAGTTCCGGGACAAGGTCATACAGTGCCCAGGGTGAAGATGCCAAACTGCCCCAGTCCACTTTCCTCTTCTCCTCCAGTGTATTATGCGAAAGACTTTGTGTCTTTTTAAAACAAAAATATTTAAAACATTTTAAAAGAAAATAAAATGTTATTTAGGTCAAAACAGAACCCACTCACACATTTTAACAATATATTATAACCCCCACATTAGTAGCTAGTGGCAGTGCTATTAGCACCTCCCCCATTTACCCCTTCCTGCATTGAAGGTCAGTGTTAGTGTTCAATTCCGGATTTAGACCTTGGGGGGACTGCGGCACATCAAGTCTGGGGGCCCCTCAATACTGAAATTTAATTATATGACAAATAAAAAAGTGAACTGAAATGAAAAATAAAACACATTTTTTTCTAAGAATAGATTTGTTAGGTTCCGATGAAGAAACTTGTCTGATTTTGTTTTCTCAATTTTATTGACTGTAAGAATATACATTACACAGGTAATCTGGACTGGTAAGTCCTACATCACAGTTATGCATAACACTACAACATTTCAAAAAGTCTTTCTTCCTGTACTTAGCATCTGTAAAATCTTTAACTAACTCATCAAACTGTAGTGTCCTTTTATGAAACCGAGATCAGCGGCTGTGACAATCGCGGCGTCAGACCCCAGCACTTCTCACCAAACTTGTGACCGAAGGACTAGCCAATCTACAACTGTGCTGTCACGTGCGTAACAACGCCACGCACACAGATTTTCCAGCTAATGAACCACAACCTGTGTCCTGAGCGCAATTGTTACTAGGTCAGGTTAATTACGCAATTAACCCTTCACACTGCCACCACCTCCTTTTTGTACAGAGAAAGAGGAAACTCTGTAATATCAGCAATAACACTATGATGTTTGCATAAGCGACGGTATACCACTGTCACCGCAGGCATAGATATTCCGAAGTTTAAAACACACACACAGTAGCGCTTTTCAGAGGAAGGGATTCTTAGTTTGCATTAAAGAGCTTTAGAAACAGTTCAACACTTTCAGAAAGTAAGATTTATTACTAAAAGGTCAAAAGGGTGCAATAAAAATATTTACAGAAAAAGATGTAGCCAATATATATTTATATAAATATATAACACAGCAAAGAGATAACAGAAAGGAATTTAGATAGATAAGGTACTTGCCAAAAGCCTTGGGGTAAGCAGTTTTCAAGTTCAGAGCAAAAGGGCCATCTCCCAGAGTTGGTTCCGATGTTACAAGGGAGAATCTTCAACTTCAACCAGCTTACCTTCAAGCATCACAGCCTTTATCTAGGAACTCAGCAGGGTGTCTCCCTGAAGCAGAGAACCAATCGCCTCATTTGGGGAGGAGGTTGTATAGGCGGGGAGCTCAGGCTATGACCAAAGCCATCATAAATTATACTATGGTCAATAACTTTTCCTAGGTACATATAACATTCTAGTAGTGATAAAACTTTTTTTAGCAGGTTGCTCTGTCTGTGGCAGTTAGGCCATCCATTGGTGTGGACAAATCTGACAAATAGTAGGTGCCAATCATTTGTATCATTCAGGAGATAAGTCATAGCCAGGTATGAGCTTGGGGATAAAATCTTTTAGGAGGGATGCAGTATACTGAATCTTATTCCTTTTATGATAGAGCTACCTAGTAGTAGTTTGTTACATTTCTGTAATTTTGAACGTTTCATAGCTTGACTAAAAGGTCAAAAGGGTGCAATAAAAATATTTACAGAAAAAGATGTAGCCAATATATATTTATATAAATATACAGAGAGCAATAACACAGCAAAGAGATAACAGAAAGGAATTTAGATAGATAAGGTACTTGCCAAAAGCCTTGGGGTAAGCAGTTTTTCAAGTTCAGAGCAAAAGGGCCATCTCCCAGAGTTGGTTCCGATGTTACAAGGGAGAATCTTCAACTTCAACCAGCTTACCTTCAAGCATCACGGCCTTTATCTAGGAACTCAGCAGGGTGTCTCCCTGAAGCAGAGAACCAATCGCCTCATTTGGGGAGGAGGTTGTATAGGCGGGGAGCTCAGGCTATGACCAAAGCCATCATAAATTATACTATGGTCAATAACTTTTCCTAGGTACATATAACATTCTATCCATGAGTAGATTAATACCCAGAAGCATCTGCTGAACGGTTAGATATGAAATATGACATACCTGCTTGAATGGTTAGGGAGATATAATTTTCTGCTTCCCTGTATATGTCAGATAGGGGGTGTAATGTATCAGGCAATTTGTATTAGAATGAGCCATCCGAATAAGTGCTCCATGTTTGTGTAATTATTTCCTATTTGGAGATATAAAATTATATGGAAAACTGGGTTTTAAAATGTAAGTCTATTTTACGACTCCCTGGAATGTCTTTTGAAGTTCAGTGAGGGCTCAGTTTATGGCTTTATGATCCCTTCTCCAGCAAGAGTCTCGCAGACAGAGGAGCACCAGCTAGTTGTGGGATTTATAACCATGACGCCCTCCCAATGAGTTTGCTGCCCTGTGATCTGCATCAAACAGACCACGTCACTTAACAGAGAGGGAGGGGGGATATCGGAGGAATCTGATTTGGGAGAGAGAGATGATACAAAATGGAAGATTCTTAACAAGATGGATGACCGGGTCCATCTCTGTATGCACAATTGCTACAGCGGCGATCCTGAGGATCGTTGCTGATCTCAGATCATTAGTGGTTTAGGAAACATAGATGATCAGTAGATAACATGTTCTCCGCTGATCATCTCAGCACACAGATGGCCAGTGTATGAAGCAGCGATGTCAGCCCTTCACTGGCGATCTGTGATCTCCCTCCAGATTCTCCAGCCCAGAGGTGGAGAATCGGGGGAACCGCAAATGAAGCAGCGATAATTTACCTCTGCTTAGTAAACAGTGTTTGACTGATCTCTTACTGTAATCTCGCGAGAATATAGTAACACCAGCTGTTTTCCAGCGTTCAAAGCATTTGTAGATCGCTTCTCTCCTCATTCAGAGAAGTGATCTACACTGCTTCATAAAAAGGCATTCAGAGGAGAACTGTCTCCTCTGAGAATGCCGGAGAACTGAGCAGCGGTCATTTACCACTGCATGTTAAAAGGACACCTGTATCTTCTTGAGAACACTGCTGTCAACAATCAGAAGCCACAGAGCACTCAGTCTTTCATGAAGCATTGTGGTTCTCAGATAATTCTTTATCAATTTGCTGCTTAACCTTTCTCCCAAACAACTAGTGAACATCATACTGAAATATATTCTAAAAGCTACATTAACACCTGGAAAGTTATCAGCAAGCCTTTCTGCATGAAGTAAAACTGCCTGTTGCGAAAGATGGAGACATGAATGGAGCTTAGCAAAGGCTGCAAATTGGACAATTTCCTCAACAAACACACTACTGAAGTCTTGAAAGAAAATAAGTTTTGTTTTTTGTTTTTTTAAAGGAAGTCTGGAGCTTCTTCTGGAGGGGGGCCAGGGCAATTGTCCCTTTTGCCCCTCTATAGATTCAGCACTGGTAGTGATAAAACTCTTCTGGAGGGGGGCCCGCAGCAATTTTCCCTTTTACCCTCCTATAAATTTAGCACTGGTAGTGATAAAACTCTTCTGGAGGGGGGCCCGGGGCAATTGGCCCTTTTGCACCCCTATAAATTCAGCACTGGTAGTGATAAAACTTTTTTTAGCAGGTTGCTCTGTCTGTGGCAGTTAGGCCATCCATTGGTGTGGACAAATCTGACAAATAGTAGGTGCCAATCATTTGTATCATTTAGGAGATAAGTCATAGCCAGGTATGAGCTTGGGGATAAAATCTTTTAGGAGGGATGCAGTATACTGAATCTTATTCCTTTTATGATAGAGCTACCTAGTAGTAGTTTGTTACATTTCTGTAATTTTGAACGTTTCATAGCTTTTTTAAGTCACTTCTTCAATTCCAGTGATTGAAACCAAAGGAGTGTCTTGGAGAAGCTACAAAACATATTCAGGATTAGCAATGAGCTATCCCCACCAGCTAAACCCACCAGAGCTATCCCACCAGTCATAAGTGGTAGAGGCATTCCCTACTCCGCAGCCGTGAGTATACAAGGTACTTGGTGAGGAATGCCCCCACCACTTATGACTGGCTTCCCCCAGTAACAGCTTCTTAGCAGGATAGCTCAGGTGAGTTCAGACTTGTGTCCAACCACACCTGAGCTCATCCCTGTTCACCATTAAAGAACATGTCCAGTTGGATGTGACTAGTTACTACTGGCTTTACCATGACCTGGATAAGTGAGAACCTTCACAGACAGTTTTTGGTGGAGTTCTTCTTTTGAGGTGGAGTTAACAAAAACAAAACAAAAAATCCAAAATAATGACAAGCAAAGTAAAACACTGTATAATTACCTTAATATAGCAAGGGCCTTCAATAATGCTGTGTATACCTTAATTACCTTTACAGCAAAAAGCCGCATCTTACAGGTATGCATACTTCCATATATCCTGTAGGAAACGATGTACAGTTGGCAATGCACATTACATAATTACCTGTACGATTATGTTTTACCTTTATCTATTTCCACATTTACGCAGTTAGGCTCTTTGTTTCCTCCTCTAGAGAATGCTGTGGATTTCTGTCCCCATGACAAAATTCCTTTGTGATTAAGAGCTTAGACTGAGAATGTCTCAGAGAGTTTCATAACGGATAAGCCTTTGCCGTTTAATTATGTCCTACATTCAATGTTTGAGCTAAGATGAGTAAACTTGAAAATATAAACTCTGGAGTTTAGTGTTCTGTATCAGGTTTGCCATTAGTATCAGGAGTAATTAATCCTAACACTGAAATCTGTAGGATGAATGTTGGTGCAAAGATTTTAACTTGGGGATTGTATGTATGTAGAACAGCCTTTCTCAACCTTTTAACCCATACAATGTATTTATCGGGGATCAGTAAGAAGAATATCCCTTACATTGGTGGTCAGTGGGAAAAATGTTCCTTGCGTTGGTGGTCAGTGGGACAAATGTCCCTTACCTTGGTGGTCAGTGGGAAAAATGTCCCTTACCTTGGTGGTCAGTGGGAACAATGTCCCTTACCTTGGTGGTCAGTGGGAACAATGTCCCTTACATTGGTGGTCAGTGGGAAAAATGTCTCTTGTATTGGTGGTCAGTGGGAAAAATGTCCCTTACCTTGGTGGTCAGTGAGAAGAATGTCCCTTACCTTGATGGTCAGTGGGAAAAATGTCCCTTATATTGGTGCTCAGTGGGAAAAATGTCCCTTGCATTAATGGTCAGTGGGAAAAATGTCCCTTACCTTGGTGATCAGTGGGAAGAATGTCCCTTACGTTGGTGGTCAGTGGGAAAAATGTCCCTTGCATTAGTGGTCAGTGGGAAAAATGTCCCTTACCTTGGTGGTCAGTGGGAAGAATGTCCCTTACCGTGGTGGTCAGTGGGAAAAATGTCCCTTACCTGAGTGGTCCATGGGAGGAGTCCCTTACAGTTGCGATCAAAGTGAAGAATGCTCCTTTCATTGAAAGTCAGTGGGAAGAGTGTCCCTCTTATGAGGCAACTAGAAAGATCATTGTTAGTATGCTGCTGGCTATGCCAAGTGGTGTTGGCCTTGGCATTATGAAGTCATTATCGGATAAGAGCTCACTCAACTGCAGCTCGAAGAACTCTGGCTGAGAATGGCTGAGGTAGAATACACATGTATAAGCTACAAATTTCAAAATAGGTCAAAATGAAAGATACGTTACATATACACTTGGTCTTAAAATCACTGTGCCATACACTGTAATACACAGCACAGCACACCATCTACACTGTATACTGGGAAGGTCATCTTCAACACTGTAGACAGCGCAACACATCTTCTACACCATAGGATCCAAATATTTCGTGCTCAGTTACAGATACTTGTACCTGTGCACCCAAAGCTGGGTGCTGGCTCCTCAGTGGTTCACTCTCTGCCTCACAGTTCAGTACTAGTGAAAAGGAAAGGTAGCCTCACTTCAAATGAAAAGCCATGGTTGAAAATTCAATATATATTCCAGTGCAAGAGAAATAACCTGAACTTGATGCATTTCACTCATATTGAACTTATTTGTAGAGTCTCTACAGCACATCATCTACACTACACTAGAAAAAAGCATTTTTATTTTTGCATCCTGACATGAGAGCAAAGGTGATGAGGGAGGCCCAAACTATGAACCCATAACCTATGTATTCAGTGTCTGTCACTGTGTTTTTCTTTTAAATAAAAAGATAAATATTTTGATATTTGCCAGCGTTGCATTCTAATTTTATTGATTTGTCTATATATGGTGTGATTATGACAGATGATGAGGTGGAGTTGGGAAATCAGGACCTCCTAAGAAGACTTTGATCTACTTGACCATCAACCTGCAAATGAACTAGGAAATGCCTCCTAGACTATGGCAGTTTATTGTATAATGCATGCATAAGTCTATTAAAAGATTGACTGCTTTCACAAAAGAAGTGCCTTTTATACAAAAATCTTCACTTTACAGTTAACTAGCTATGGGCACAGAAGTCAGAAAGGAAGGAGGATGGTATACAGAACTGGTATGAAAAAAGTGCAACAAAAAGAAATAAAACACGACACTTGTCAAAGCAATGAGGGGCCTATTTATAAAAAATTTGCCTAGCTATTTATTCGGTGAAACTGTATGTACATTCGTTCTGTCAGGGATGCGGGTGTGACCAGAAGTGTGTGGACTGACACAGGGAAACGTAGGCTTCAGATATAGTAAATAATATAATTTATTAAGACTAACAATACAAACGCAGTGCAAAACTAAACATAACACAGTGCAAACAAACTGAACTAAACATCCAACAGATAACAAACATACGATACAAGAGTAGTTAGGCAGACCGGGTCGGTAGCAAATGGACAAACGGAGTACCAGGAGCAGGCGGGAGAGTGGTCAGGACTAGCCGAGGTCAGTACAGGCAGAGTTCAGGCAGCGTCAGGACAGCAGAAACAGGATCAGGAAACCAGGGCCAAGCAAACAAGGCACAGACTGCAGGTCTGGCCATCCCTTAAATACACCACCTGCAATCAGCCCCAGGTGATGGCTAATTGCCGAAGTGAGCCTCTGGTTGTTGAGAGCACCCGCTGGCCAGCCCTGGTACTGCAGCCCACAAGGCAGGTGAGTCCCACCACTATTGGCAAGTCCATTCCTGACACGTTCACTGGGCCAAAACAAATGTTGGTCAGGCTATTTTCTCTTCTGAATCAATGTTCTTTTAATATTTGCAGCATCTAAAATACTGCATTATAGCCACTAGATGGAGCTAACGAGCATGGGAAACATGTATTTGTATCATGATATTCAATGTAACAGTTCTAGAAAACAATTCAGGGAATTAGCAAATGGGTGGAAAGATCGGTAACCATTGGTTACATTTATTTGTTAATTCCCTCTATCATTTTCTAGAATTGTTACATTGTATCTCTTGTTATAAATATATATGTATTTCCTGTGTTCCTTGGGCTCCATCTAGTGATTATAATGCAGAATTTTACCACCACAAATAATAAAAGAACGTTCGTTTAGAAGAGAAAATAGCCTGAAGATCATTCATTTTTGTCCAATTTGTACAGATTACATGTACATTCAGATTCTCTTTTTTTTTTATAGAAAGTGTTTGTGGTTAAAATAAAAAAAAAAACTATAGCAGGAAACTTTGAGGGCAGCTGTTGATATTCTGACTGGCCTACTATAAGGTAAACCTAGTTATTGAACAGGCATGGCCTGGTATGCAAACAGTGTTTAATAAGATCTAGTAATTATAATAACACACTTTCAGTGCTTTCATTTTGCCCTCACAACCCTTGTGAATATGTACACCAGCCCATTGTACAATGAAAATAACTTAGCATACCAGTGCTTGCTGGCTTCCCTTCTGTACAGTTAGATTGCAAAGAGCTGCAAAGCACATCAGTAAATGAAGGGCTTATGCTCCCAACCAATGATGGAAATCAAAGTATGAACATCAAGTGTTTGTGACTGTTTAAGGCTTGCCTGGCATACAGTTTCCTACTAATTGCACTTATCTTGTAATCTGTACCTCCGAAGGATCCCAGACAGTCAGGCAGGCCATCTAATCAGCTAAGTCATCTCTCCAGAGAGGTACATACCATCCTCCCAGCTCAGGAGCACACAGCGACTTACGCAATGCCCCATCATTGTGACACAAGATACACTGACTTGCAAAAGCCAATGGAGCTACATTATTAAACTGATTTAACGAACATTGATTCTAGCAGAGCTCTTTTAATAAAGAGGCAAAGCAATCACTTGACATGCTGCAAGGCCACACTTGACCTCAGTCAATACAGGTAATGAGCAAGTATGTTTTTAGTGAGCATATATATTTTGTGTTGTTATTACAGTGTTTAAGTTCCATATTTTGTTATTAAAGTGAAAGTAGAGTCCACTTTTAACTTGTACCTACAGGCTACAGGCAATCCTATAATAAGGCTTACAGTACCTGTGGGTACAGTGAATATCTCCTAAACTTACACTGTTTAGGAGATATTCACACAGCATGCAGCCGGTGACGTCATGGCGCATGCACTCTGAAGGAGCGGTATAGCCCTGTCATCCCTTCAGAGCTCTGTGTCTTGACCAGGGCTCTTGCTTGCACGCGCGTGAGTGATGTCATTGTGGCGCTGGCCATTCATATAGCCGTATGAGTCTGTGAACCCGGAAGGAAGACTGGGAGAAGATGGAGGCCCCCAAGAGCCATGACAGTGCTGCGTTGGTAGGCTCTGTGTCCAGGTAAGTCTGTCATAATGTGCTAGTATACAGTGCATGCTAGTACTTTATGACTTAAACCTGCAGGGGCCTGATTTTGTAAAAAAAAAATTTGTAGCTTTAAAACTGAATTCCAGGCATGGGTTGTATAGCATAGTTATATTGGTCCAGCGATGACCAATGTAAGTATGCATATTCCACACTGTGGAAGCAGAGAATCACCATAGTAGTTGCTGCTACCACAGCAATCGCCATGGTCTTTTGGGTCCTGTGCCTAGCAAATACAGTGCTAACATACAAAACACAGCAGCCAAGCGTACAGAATGCAAAAAACTCATATTATATATATCTATATATATATATATATATATATATATATATAGTATTATGAGTTTACTAATTACTGAATATTATAATTGTATAACTGGCAGGAAAGCTGGGAAGGGCAATACATTATTAGTGCAATGTATACAATAAATTCCATGGCACTCAACCTCACCAGCCAATGTACAAAACCTAATAATCACCTGCCACTCAACCTTATCCATTCACAGGACTTTTTATGTTCTTTTCACATATGTGCCAACTATGGGCCCATGACTAAGGAGATCCCCCTCTTGGGATTACACAAGGAACCTTTTCCCCAAGAGGGTTATATCACTTCACTTGGGTACTTGAATGGCTGTGAATTATACCAGCTACCCTTTCCATGCAATTAGGGCTGGAAGGACTGTTTCTGAGACCCCTTGGCATACTGGAACTATGTACAGGGGGTGAATACTAGCATATGTGGGGTTAAGAAATGTTATTATCCATTACAGGTTTCCTGGCATCAACTATTGTTTGCTATAATTGGGTTTAGGTGATAAGCTATCTAGGTGCTGGGAAGGAATCCATTGGTTTTTTGTGTTTGATTGTTTATTTGTTTATGTAATGTAATTTTCTTCTGGGATTTGTAATGGGGGCCATAGCTGTCTAGGGGGAAGGTTTTTGTGTATAAATACTGTGCTGTTTGTTAATAAAATCAGTCCCTGTTTTACTCCAACATCGGTCCTGCCTGATGCTTGGAGTGAATTTGCTATATTCTGGTTCCAGAGTGGAGGAAGCTGTAGTTTGGTGGAGATACCCAGTCGGGGTGTCAGGCAGTCCGTCACACTAGCCTTATCCAATTCCAAAGCATCTTAAATTCTCTGAACAGAACGTTAAAAGTTTTGTGCATGGATGATTTTACATGCGAGATTCATTATTCTTTACTGTATAAAATCCAAAACTGTAATTTCAGCACTGGAAGTTTGCTGCTTACACCAGTGACGGATGAGTTTTACATAATGCAGCATGCTGGGACAGAGTGATTTATTTTTACAAATAAAATATCTAACATTAATTGTTTTTTTGGATCTCAACTTTAATTTCTACAAAGCTGGAATAAATTGTTATATTTTAATTTAAACTTGAAAAAAATAATTGTAGTTTTGGAATGAAAATGCATTAGAAATGCCTTTACACCATTAATAATTAATAGCACAACAGGTACAAAAGATCTCAGATGCAGAGTGAAGCTGATTGCCACCACTGCGACTTTCCTCTGTATACAAGCCTCTTGGAACCTGGAAGTCTCGGCAGTAGTATACATGTGCTGGCACCTGATCATAGCAGGGTTCCCACCATTCTCTATGGCTGT